ATATATATTTAATATATATACTATACTATATATACATCTTATATATAGTATATAAGATGTATATATAGCTTACCGAATATAGCTTATATATATATATACATCTTATATCGATATACTATATATATATCTTATAGCCCACTTAGCCCGTTTAGCCCGCGGTCTAAGACCGTTTAACTCGGGACCAAACGGTCCCGGTCCCGGACCGGTCCTTAAAAAGCCCGTTTAAGCCCGAGCCCGTTTAACCCGTTTAATTTGGGCCCGGCACGGGACAAGGACCGTTTGGACCGGCCCAATTAACCCATTTAGGCCCGTGACCGGCCCACTTGCCAGCCCTAGTTGGAACCATATATATCAACTGCGTCAACAGCTGAATGCTTGTCATGTTGGCTTAAAATCTTAAGCAAATTTTTGTAATAAATAGATTAATATTTTCAAAAATTAATGAAATTATCACCATGACGACCCAATTTTCAATAATTTAACTCAGCCCATTTTGGGCGAAAATCTTTTCTCTTCAAATAGTGAGGTTAGTGTTTCTGAATTATTTTTAAAAACAGGTTAAAGTAAAAGACATTCAAGTTGGCGCCCATAAGAGGATTCCAATTACGCAGTGAGCAAAAATACATAAATGAAATAGACGATCTCAATTCTCAAAGTTCACAGTGGGTTGTTTTGATGTCTTAGCTCTTCGTATAGTGTCTTTTTTTGAGAAAAAAAGGCCTGCATTGTTTACAATACAAAAGGGAAACTTTAGTTTCTAGGTAACTGGAATTTTGGGGAGAAATTTTATTTTGGGTGAGACTTACCCAACAATAGTTTTATGAGGCCACTCTCTGCATTTGACAAGTGTGGTTGTGGGGCCCGACATTGGTTTAATTTCAATAAACAAAGAAGAAAAAATGATTTTGGCATTAATGTGGATCTCACTCCCACTCATATATTCAATAAACAAATAGTTAAATAGATATTGTACGAGAGAAATGAAGGGAAAGAAAAATGTGAAAGGCGTTTCCCTCCTTAATTACCATAATTTGCTCACCACCAAACGTAATATTTATATTTTTTGTATATATCTGTCTTCTTCTTCTTTTTCATTATCAAAGTTCATATCTTTTCAAAACCATCTTAACTTACCAAAGCTTTAAAAATGAACGTTTAGAGGTTGTTCATTGATATAAATATGAAATATATTATACATAATTTGTCAATAAAATGCTCCTCATTTGGCACCTAAATACAAAAATGTGGTCACTAGCATTGAGTACTTTTGCATATTGATTCATTTGCTACCATGTTTAACCTGCAAGATCATTATAAGAATATTATTTACTTCTAGAATATCATTATCATTTGCTACCATGTTTAATTCATGCATTAATAATCCTTGCATTACTAATACACCTTATTCAACACTATTCTTATACGCTCTATCAAACGACTCCTTAGTGTATTAGTAAAAGGCCGAGTTGTGTATGCTAAGATTTTTATTGAAACTTTTAGAATAACATTTTTAGATTGAGTGCCTTTCTGAATTACTAAAGAACTTGGTTCTTTACCTTACTCCTTAAGTGTAAGCGAAATAGCAGTAAAAGAACACAATAATTTTTATGTGAAAAATTACCCGGCTCAAAGGTGCAAAAACCACGACCTACCTCGTAGGATTTTAACTTCAACTTCACTAAAATAAATGAGCGAAATGTATCGATTACAAGACCTGTGAATCAATACTCACCGGTTCTCATGTTTCAACTATTTGACTTACAAGTTACTCTAACTTGCAAAACAATTACTTCAACTCACTGATTATGTATGACACTTGATTACAACTCGATTTCTTAAAACACATTTACTAACTGACTCAAGAAGAACACTAAGACTAGTAATCGACTTGAATGTTGAAAATGTCATTCCACAGTTGATGTGTAAAAGGATATCATCCGCAGTCCAAAAAGATAGTATTTAAGTTTACTAAGCTCAGAGATCTTTTAGGAGTCTTATACATAGTCAACTTCTCATTTGATAGGACTCCTACAGTTTCAAGGACTCCACCATTCTTGTAACTCTTGTGTATCACTTATGCAAGCATATCTTCTTGGACAACGATCCTTATCGCGTTAGCAGCCTTCTTCCAACAAACTCGGACTCGAGTAACTTTGTGAAAAAGTTACTTCGACCTTGAGGTTCTTAGAGCATTTCATTAGCTACCTTGAGACCTGGTTCTTAGAGCATTTCCTCTGGACAAACTTTGTTAATCATCAAAATCCGAATACTCAACAAACATTTAACATATAGCAGGCATCGTAGTTCTGTTTTGATCTCATGACCTAATTGTTTGAAATAATCGCCTGTCGCATGTTTTCTCAAATCTGACCTTCTAACTATGCTTTTGGGTTTTCAATTTCCCTATTGAATATATTATTGTTTTCATCACAATTATCCGTATGATCTTTGTCCCAAAAATTTTCTGTCTCAACTCCTCATGATTGGGACTTGGAAATTTTTCAAATCCTTTCTTAGCTTGTTATTGCAAAAGATTGAAGTTGGCTAGTTCTACTATCTGAAGATTAGCCTTTATGGCTTGTAATGTGCAAAATTGCCATTACTAGATGGGATGTGTTATGACTGTAGTTTTTCCTTTTATGATATGATATACTAATTTATGGCTACCGTTTATTGAAAGTAGACGAGTTGTATTTCATTGTCACGTGATCCTTTCATATATCTGGCTTTTTGCTTAGTAACTTCTTCGGTTTGTTATTCATTTATGTAAATTTAAGCATTTCTTGGATCTTGGTGTTTTAGCAGTCCTGCAAAGTAGAAAAAGGTCCTCTGATGGTGTGAGATCAATGTCCGACATGTATTACTATGAGTCCTCACATTTTCCTTTCTGAAGCTCAAGCTGTTGTGGTATTAGTCCGTCTATCTAGATTGACTGCCATCCATTTTCAACAGACTTTAACCTTTATTATTTTGTTGAATATGTTGGACTATTGTTTCAAATTCTTTGGAGAGAGATGCTCTATTCCGAGGTTACATGTGAGCGTATAACTGTAATACACTGTTCTTCAACCCTTCCCTGTCACAGCGCATTCTTGGAAAAGAAAAGGCATAAATTGTTAGGCAATGTTTTCTTATGCAAGATGTGAGGACTAACAATCTTAATTTTGCAGTACGAGTGTATGATGGTAAATGTGAAGCGGCATGCAGTTACAGCATTTAACTTATCTGATCAAACATTTGGCAAACATTAGCTACACTAATATGTAGAGTCCTCATGTTTCCTTTTACCATGTTTTATCCTTTGAGTTCACCTGCAATCTAAAATGCATGTGAACTTGGAAGTAGTCTTCAACCCTTTAGTTTTGCACAGGCAGCTGGTTCTTAGTAACCTTTATGGACCCCTGACAGCAAAGACAGGGAGGTAAATTGTAAATGAAATTAACTGACATATATTACTACTCTTTTTCCCCCAAATGACGATGCAACAGTTCTTGAATCTTCTAAGCCCATTCCCCCATGGTACGTTCTCGCTGGATGCAGATGCACCATGTGAAACTGAAAACAGTGATACTCACCAAAAAGAAATAGAAGATGTTGCTAACTCCATCCTCAAGATGAAATCCAGCTGTATACTTTTGTTTTATTCATAATGTAGATTTGGTTACACGTAAATGATGCTGAATCAGTTCTACAGATGTTAGAAGACCTTTAGGATTAGATGGGGCATAAACATTTTCACATGTAACAGCACATCCTTGGTGCTAGTTTATTTATGAAATCTACTTTACCTTGTCAAAATTATAAGGAACTAATCAAGCCAGGGAATCAGCGGAGTAGTAGAATTAGCATTAGTGTTTTATGATATCAAGAGTGAAAATTTTGATGGAAAGTAGAAAGAGAGGGCCAAGAGATGAGAGTTGAGGCGGTAGCGGCTACTTTTTGAGAAATTGAGATGCGTCTGAAGCCAATGCTCCAGCTCTTAAGTGGTACTCCCATTTCCCCCCACCCTCAAGTTTTTGGTAATCGAGCATCTTGTTTATATTCGGATGATTTAATACTGGTACAATGTAACCCATTTAAAGGCCTGTTTTCAGTCTATTGAAAGCAGCAAACTTGTTTAACAATGAAAAAATAGTAAAAAGAATAACATTGATTAGAGATCATTATAGCATTTGAAACAAACGCGAGAATTACTTTTGGAGTAAAAATTATCATTGCAACTTTAAACGATAACTATTGAAACAAATTTATAGACTATACATTAGGTATATTACAGTCTCTCTAAGGCTCTGAACTTAAGCTGGTAATAGATCCAATAGCTGTTAACAAAACAGCTGCATGATAATATCCATTCCCTGAGAACTATGGCCTCCTCTTTGCCTACTAATATCGACACTAGGGGAAAAAGCTTAGTCGTCTGTACATTATTTACAGGTGCAAAAACTCATCGAACAGTAGAGAGAGTGCTCATTCCTCACTCCTCACTCCTCACTCCTCCACCATTTGAGGTAGGGCAGTCGGAATATGTCGCAGGCGCTTTAACGACTCTGGTGTTGTAAGATCCGCAGGACCCACACTTATGATATAACCAATGGAAGCGCGCCCTGCTTTTCTGTTCACAGTCATTGCAAAGAATATCCTGAATTTGAAATATCATCATATTAGATGGAAGATTAAGGAAAAATACAGATACACCACCAAAGTATGATCACGCTATACAAATTCTAACATAGCACCTAGTACCAAATTAATTAATGTCCTAATTAGAACAATTACCTAGCAGATCATCAAAATTAAGTACTATCTTTTATGATTTTTGCCACAATGACTACATTACTGATGTCGAGATCGAGACAGCTAGAAGACTCATAACAACTGCAGCAACAACAGCATCCATTTCTAGTAGAAAACAACTTCACTACTCTGGTTGCCAGTCTCTTCCGTTCATCCTAAACCTTTTTAAGCTTTACAGAGTAAACGGACGGAATAACTTGAAAAGATGACGAAATTATCATGGTATATATGTTTTCCATCTCACCAACATGCCAAAAATTCATGCTATATGTGTTCTCCATCCATCAACAATTTTTAATCTTTTAACAGCCAACAATTTCTGATCGTTGTGGTACCAAAGATACCAATGCAAGTGCAGAAATGAAAGTAAAATGCACAGAAAAGTTAATTAAGGCAAAACCTGCCAACGATTCTGGTACTCCTCTGGAAGAACCTCATTAGCCAGCNAGGCACCTGAACTACCCTCCCAGGAAAGTCAAGAACAAGGAAAAGGAGAAATAGATACAATGAGAGAGGCCCCTCCCACAAATCAAAAATATAATAATTGAATTTTAAAAAGTTGGAAACTCTTCATAACTGCTGTGTAATTAAATGTCAAAAAGTGATCATAAAAACTAGGACTACATGTCACTCGACAAAGAACAAAAAACGTCACAAATTTATATGAAAGTATTGCTTATGGGGGAACATGGGGGCAAAAAAAGGAAAGAGAGGGATGGGGTTTCTCTCGCTTTTGGCATAGCAGCTTCACCATCTTTTGTGCTTGAAGGCAGCAGCAGACAAAATTTTAAGCGCAGAGTGCAGCCTAAAAGAATTAATATAAAAGGAGATCACTAGGAAATTCTTACCGCCATATTACCCATGGATTTGCTGCATATCGGACAAACGTAGTTACTGCAAGCATATGCCTGGTAGAGAGAGTATGGTTAAAATTTTAGTGAGCTTAAATCAAATAAATCAGTTCCTCAAAATTCTTTAGAAGTCAAAGGATATATATGTCAGAGCACAAAGTACAAGATTGATTTTTCACCTGAAAGCAAGCTGAGTGCATGTAATGCCCACAACGCAGAGGTCTAACTGTAGCACTTGAAGTAAACAAAAACTCACAGCAGATGGGACAATTTATTTCTAAAGCCTTCTCCAAACACTTGTGCTCTTTCAAACTTATTCCCAGACAACAATTGCATTTCATGCAATGATAAAAATCAATTCCGAGACCATTTCCAACACGACACAAGTTGCAAGAGGGGCAGTGATATACCGGCCTGATACAGAAAATAGGCATTCAGTAGAGGAAAACTGCCTATTCTCACACAAGTTTCACAGAGAAATGAAAAATTCAATCTCATTTTTCGCTCGAGAGAGTGGAAAAGATGTTGTTAGGGTAGTTTGGTTCACATACTAATTATTGTTGGAATTATAATGTCATGATTGTATATGCATAGAATAATATTGAAGGTATTTTTATGCGGTGAATAATAATGTAGGTATTGGGTAACTAATAATACATAGAATGTTAGGATGGAATTACTTACTTTAAGAGCATTTGGGTCTTTAAATAGCTCATATTTTTATTGCTAATACATGTATCCTTATTCCTCTTTCTATCACGCATAAATTAATAACTCCCGCATAACTTACTGCAGATATTATATAGTACTACCAACCAAAAAATGCATTAATTGTGCAGGGATCATATGTTTCTTAATGACATATGTAAGAGAAAAAACGTATCATCAGGTGATATTGTCAAAAACTACTATGGATCTAAGGTCATTAGCTGACATAAAAAAGACCATGTCATTCTTCATCCAGTAATTCAAGTACACTTAAATGATGCACTCAAATGGATAAACACGCAAAGTAGGATGTAAACAACACATTTATGTCAAACTCTAACAAGAAGCTAAGTTGACTCGTCTACCTCTCATCATCAAAGAATTTGCATATACTGCAAAAGTACTTTGACATGGAAAATCCATTGCATGAGGGTGTCGTGCAGCTAGGTCCAATTGCTTGAACTTTCAAACAACGCATGCACATCATCTCTACTGTTGCTTTCCTGAAAAAAAGGTAGACATGAGATGTAAAGAACCCAACTGCAACCTAAGGTATTTCTAGCTAAGGTTTACCTGTCCATTGAATGGTCGCTCACTTCATCATGGCAGAATCTGCATGTAAACAATTTTCCACAGCAAGCTGCACGAAGTTTGCAGTTTCTTTTGTAGTGCTCACATCCAAAAATCTGCTTCTCTGGATCTCGAAAGGACGGTGAACACCCAACATCTTCACTACAAGAAACTTCTTCTGTTGATGCTTGTGATTTCTGCTGGGAGGCTATCCAACGGCTGAGTACATAGAAAAGTCATCAAGATGCGGTTTACTGTTTATTTATGTACAGATTTTGCAACAGATAAAAAGAGCAAAAAGAAGCACTAAGACAAACCTAGTCATCAGATTTTGAATTAAATAAGATTTCCTTCTTGGATCAAGAGTTGAATCCCTGTTAACTTTTCTAATCTCCGACTCAAGTTCTGTTTGATTCATACGGAAAATGTCTTTCCAGCCGGGTTTGAACATATGGTCACTCTGGTCCAAGCCTTCATGAGAATCAACAACTGAACCTAGTATTTTTTAAGGAACAAATGTTACCTCCATTGAATGCATTAACGGTCAAGCCATAAATTAAGCTCTAAACTGCAGTTCCAAGAGCAAGATACACAGAAATTAGTGAGGGCATAGCATTAACCTCTGTTTGTATTGCTAGTTTGCAAGGCTTCAGGCTGTGCAGATATTTCAGGAGTTCGTCTCCAACACTCGTTGAGCCATTCGCTGAACATGGTGTTTTTAGTAGCCTGCTTTAATGTGTCCATCATCTTATTCTGCTCATCCTGAGTAAGAGCAGAAGTTACCCAGGGCAACATTGATTGAAGTACTTCAGCTCCTGTGCTTCCAATTATACGACCAACAATGATGTCTTGCTCCTCCACAGAGAAATGTTTGCCAAACAGTGGCCACAACTCAAGTTCTTCTCTAAATATATGTTGATCCAGGCTTACTCTGATTGATTTACACATTCCTTGAACCTTTGTGGCAAGCTCATTGTATTTCCTTATGTGATCCCTATCACTTAAGCCCATAGAGTCATCCTTCAGCCCTTCATGAAGCTNATGAAGAGTCGAAAGATCATTGAGGGCAGATGAAATGTCTTCAAACAATTTTTCCTCCTGCTTATGGTCTAAGGTATAGGAGTGAGACACATTGTGGAGTGCTTCTTTAGATTCAAGTGCAGGGAAAACGATTTCATCCTCAGCATTGCTGTGGGCTCTGTACAAACCCCAAAGCAACCGGAATCTTCCAATGAACTGCCGAAGAAAAGCTTCATGACGGTCACTAAGCTTACTAGATTCAACATCAAGATACTCCAAATCTTTTCGTATCGCCTTATGAAATTTGAATATTGTGTCAATAGGATGCACTTTATGGTTGGGTTGAGAAGAGGTACAATCTGTCTCCCATATAAAGAGGCTTGAATCAAGAGAAGGAGCGGTCGAGCTGAAGGTCAGTGAACGAAGAGATTTTGGAGTGGATATAGTAGTTCGTCCCAGATTATTATCACTGACTCCCAATCCTGGGACACAGCATGACTGATCATTGCAAGATATATTACAAGCATTTACACCCTTAGATGAGTCCGATGTATTTTCTTTTGTGCAAATTACGGCAAGGTTTCTTTTGGATGGCCTCTTAGAATCATCAGTATTGACTGAGAGTAAACATAGACAAGGTGCTCGAATATAAGATTCTTCAATGTCAGTAAATCTTTTAACAGGGCAGCAACCAGTGACACTAGAAGACAAACATACACCATCGGTACGTCCTTTACATGCCCAACCAACAAATAGGGTTACCAAAGCAGAATCATGTGCTGAAGCTGCAAGGGCAGAATTCAATTCCATAATTCAGTAAAAACACAGAACTGCTGGCATATCAACTGCTCTAGCAACAAAACTATTCGGCTGAATACCTGCCAGCTGCAAATTTTTTAAGAAATTTCTGGCTTCATCTTCAGACAGTGATCCAACTAGCCAGGGTAAGACTCGCTCTATCAACTTCAATGGCATTAAACACAAGCTTTGGTACAACAGTTTCCTCTGTCTGTCCGGGGTAAAATGCTTTCGAGCAAGCGGAAGAACCTGGAGATGGAGGACAAGACAAATATGCTTTAGCTTTGAAGGACATTTTTGCAGACATGGGTAGAAGTCATGCAATAGCTCTTAACAAAATTATACTAGAAAGTAGGTGTGAGTCCAAGAGAAATCCATCAAACAGTAAGCAGATCAAATTCTGGAGCTTATTGAACCAACAGAGACAGTTCATACTTTTGGGACTTGCACCTCGCAAGTTTATTCACCTTTGGCCATAGTAACGTACAATGAGACACATAATAACTCTTTTTATCAGTAATGAGACACATAATAATTTTAATAATTTCAGCAAGAACAATAAATTTATAATGAATCCCACCTGAACTTCTTCATTGTAAAAGTGCCGTTTGATTGTCTCAATAATTAAGTCGGCTTGCGAACATAATTTGGAGAAAAACTCAGCAGCTGAAATGGAACTGATTTCTGTGCTTTGAATGCTCTCAATCAGACAACGAAGCTCATTAAATTGACTTT